GTAAAAATATCGTTTAAATGTATTTTAAAATTTCCAAGCAGGAGAGAAGCAGTACAGTAATTATTACATGAGTCTTTGCAGTGTACACATCAAAAATAGATTTAAAGATTTAGACTATCTAATTTTACAAAAAGAGATCATTCGTTCTGATAACTCCATCAAATAGGTGCTTATTAAGGTCTAATAAAACAAAACAGTCTCTTACGTTAGAAAGAGAGAAAGTTAACTCATTTTCGGTAAAATGCCAAATTAAATTCGATAAGATATCAGAAGGAATAAAACAGTGATCCAATAATTTTTAAATTTTGAAGAAACATTAAATTTAATGAAAAATTGGGTCGTTTTTTTCATATTTTGTGGTCTAGGGTTTGGTGTAGATATTTGATTTACATTTAACAGTGGTTCACAATTTATAACAGTTGCAATACAACATAAGTCCATTGTAAAAATGTTGTAATGTAAAATGTAAACGAATGTTCTTGTAAAATAAAAGAACATCGGTTAAACGTGTCATTCCCACTCACCACTGATTTTTAATACTTATAAGTATTTACAAAAAAGTCTAATAAAAATCTTATTCAACAGCTATCGATGTACTTTAATTCATTAGGAAGCAAAGAGAAACTATTAATAGCTTTAAGAAGTCGTGTTTACACAGGTCATATATTAAGTTAAATCTTTATTAAAAAAAAGTTTCGGATCACACGGCTCATTCTTGCGTAACTAAGTCGTCCGCCATAAGAATGCGAGTATTTTTGTAAAAATTTTGCTTGGAAAACTGTAATAGACGAACAAGTCGTAAGTATCGTGTGAGTATGTGCATAAGTTGTTTCATATGAAACTCAAAAATACCGGAAAAGTTCATTGTGGCACTGAAGAATATTTTAAGTAAAATAATTGAGTTAGATTTTTGTAGCATCTCGAACCTTTAATTATTTTATGATTTCGTTTTTAAATTCGTTCAACGGTGGAGCTACCTGCTATAGAAAATAAGACTTAATGTGCGGCGAATTTCTTTTTTGTTTTTAGGTAAATTCCTTCTAATTCGGAAATTTATGCAAGCTCGGCGAAATAAGAGTTTACATTTTACATTTTGTCTGTTAATAAGTCATGAACGTTGAAAAAAATAAAGAACACTATGGTTCTTACGATTCTAAGCAGAAAACATTCTTCGGTTAATACATTGAGTATTAAGAAAGAATAAATAAAATACCGACTACTATTCCACTATGCTTACGTAAATTTCAAAATTTACCAAAATAAATGCACATTGTTTTCAATGAAAAGCAACCAAAAGGGATGAAACGTTCTTTATTCGTTACGTAATCTCCAAACTGACGTTTCGCCTTCAATTACACCATACAAAGCTTTCAACCAAAAAGGCGAAACGTCGGCTGAATATTACGTAATGAATAAAGAAAATTTCACACCCCTTTTGTCTGCTTTTTGTTAAAAAATATTAATATAATCATTGGGGAAGATAGTACAAAGAATTAGGTCTGTCATACGGGTTATAGCAAATAATTCTGCCGACTATCGAATTAATATAATTAATTTTTAATTAATGCGTAGATAAAATAGGACCTAGCAGCCATAAATAACACATTTTTTGAATAGCTTTCTACGGTTACTTTTCGCGAATTCATTAATACTTTTCTTCTGCTGCCATTTTTCATGATAATTAAGTAGGTATATATAGTAAATCGTAGGAGTTATTTTCGACTATGAATCGTGATTCTCAAAATTGAATAGATAATTTTTCTTAATGCTCGTGGAAATAAGTACCTAACCAGTAGGTATTTAGACGGAGAAATGTTCGCGTAATAAATCTTAAAACTAATCGTAAGTATGTATATTCGTGCTAATGTTCCCTTTGCATGGCTCTGGCCTTTACTACTTAATGATAAACGAGTATTTTCTCCAAGTCCTTTGGGTATACATAGGAGGCCGAGTAATTGTGTACGAAATGAATGGTCCTTACTACCAATATGTATGGCCGATGTAGACGCTAACCACATACCTACTTGAAATTGCATATTTAAAAATGATATAAAGATAACATATCCAGTTTATACCTACACAGTTTACGATTTATGCAGTTGCATTTTTTCTGCATTGTGCTCTTTAATTCCTAATCAAATTTGGCGTATTTTGCATAAGTGGATTTATAAATAAAAGCTGATTTATCAGGACAAACAACACTCTTAATGGTTTTGCTGTTTAACGGTACATTAAATAAGTAATTGTGAACAGTAATCACGTCGAAATTGCATTTACATGGTGTGTACAAGTATGACTCGCCCCTAACTAATGAAAGAAAAGTGTATATTACAGTCAAGGAAATTAAGTTAGCACGTAGAGTAAGGAGTTAGTGATTTCGGAATTGCTCTTCTATTTGTGCTATTATGAGACCTTCTATCACAAAGAAACTGAGCTGATATCAGTTGATTTTGGTCAACCGGAGCTCAAAAAAGGAATTATTATTCTAATTCTAAATAATCTATCTAATCTAAATAATTCTAACAGAACTAAAAAAAAAGTTTCTGAGGTTTGAAAGAATGTTTTGTTAATCCGTAGTTCAACGAAATCAAGTCAATTTAGAAAAAAAAAAAACAAAAGGATAGTCATGTAGGTATGACGAAAATTTCGAAAGTCCAGATCAGATGTATCTCGCCCTGTAAAAATTTTTAGATATTTTAATCTCAAAACTCAAGAAATGTAACCAAAGTACCAATTTTAATTTAAATAAAAGGACAAAACAACCGTGACAGTAACCATTTCCGAGTTATGTCCCTTTTATCGCTGGGTTAGAATCTGATCTCATATTTGAAGATACATGAAAATCTCAATGTGTTGGAGCTAATCTAAAGAGAGAATCTAATTCACCGGTAAGAACAAATTGACGATAGGTACTTTCTTGGTTATTTAATTTTTTAATTTCACTCAACAATGCTTATAAAAGGACAATAAATGGAAATTTTTTGAATTTGAGATTGAGACGTACTCTGGAATTGCAAACTACGTTGAAATTGATCTGTGACCTTAGTTTCTAGATCATTTGTTACCATTTTCAAGTTTTTGGATTTTCATTTTCTGTATCTCGTGTATTTAGTTTTTCGCCCTAATCACTATCATCGCTCCATTCCCTCCGTTGTTCAAGGGTGCATTCCGCCCTGTTCACTATTTTACACTACTGCTTAGGACAGTGAGACAGGCCACCTATCAGCATTAGCTGGTTGGAACGAAATACAACAATTGTTTTTCAGCCCCTTAAATTTTTTTTAATGTCCTTTAATTTTTTTTCTTTCATTTTATGTCGGCACCGTACTCCTGAAGAAGTATCACTTCAAAAATTTCTCAACGTATTTTTAAAAACATTTAATGAACGAAAGCCATTTCAAACATTGTTTTGCCGCTATGTATAATAATAAATTGTTGTGTCGTTCAAAACTTGCATAAACCTTATCTAAGATTTTTATTAATTGAAAGTACTTGCAATACTTCCCACCTAAAAGGGAATGAAATGTATATAAAGTCGACCAATCAGTCAGTATGTGTCTGTTTGCTGCTGGCACCAGTGCTATATTTTCTCATTTAAACAGTTATTTAACAGAATTCTTCTGTGATAATACTCAAAGTTGAATTTTTATCATCTACAAACTGTTAGTGTTAAAAGACAGATGGCTGTGGATGCATTTATTGGTATAATAAATAACACAATCGGCAACGGCACATCTCCTTGTTTTCTTTTGTTTGCGCAAGTCAGTGTAAGTGAGTACCATTCGGTATAGCTTTCATGCGAAACAATATCGTAAATAAGATTGTGTTAAACGTTGTGTTGTTTATTAACATTTGTTGGTGCATTCACCGTTTTGTGAATTAGCAGCCGCATATATGGAAATTGACATACAAGGTAAGACAATCATTGCTGATAACATTAGAGTAATTTAGAACAGTAAAAAGTTAATTTGGTGATAGCTGTGTTAAAGCTTTACAAATCTACTACACATTTACGTATAAGGACTAGAATAATAAAATTATTGTTATTACTTATAAATAAATTGATATTCGTTTGATGAAAGAAAATGTAAATTATTATTTGTGCATCTTTAACAGAAGGAAATTCAAGGACATGATAACACATGTGATAGGTGTAAACATAATAATTACCTATTTATTTAGTTTATGGAGTTAATTGAAAATCGCTTGTTAAGAGCATTAGAAAACTTATTAATAGCATATTAGCAATTACAGTTGCAATTTTTTAATGCTTATAAATTAGTTAATTAATTTATAATTTATTATTTTACGTTGCGATTGTTAATACAAATATAACCGTCGTTTTTGGTTAAATTTGTTGAAGAAATGCAGTACCACGTTAGGTAATTTTCAGGAAACCTAAAAATGATAAAAATATATGCAGGTAATGATATAGTAGGTACCTAACAGAAATTGAAACAACATAAAGGAATTATGATAATGTATTATTTATATGCTCAAAGCTACTACTTCAACACATTAAAAGCAAACTACAATATGTACAAACATGCAAGGCTACTAATAAAAAGAAGAAAAATGAAATAAGAAACAGTTAATTTATCAACAAACTACTATTTGACAAATCTATTTTTTGGTATAAATTCAAGTCAATACGGAGAAGGAACTATTAAGCAAATATGTGACATTTACGTTTTGATTATTCTGGAAATTGATGTTTGTCCGGACGGTCCGGTAATGGAGGGGTTGTACAGGCCTAGCATTGTTCCCCAGGGGTGCCTTGGGGGCCTCCTTCGAGCCCTGCATCAGCTTCCTGAGCGCGTAGAACTGCGGAAAACGTCACAAAAGATTAGGAACAAGGCAAACGATTTTTATATCAGTTCGAACAGACAAAATCAAATTACAAATTTCTTTTCTTTTTTTCTTGACGTCATTTTGTTGGTAGGCACTTGATTCAGCTTATAATCCAGAAATTTTAATTTATTTATTTCAAAAATATCTTACGGAGAAATTCGCAAGAAAAATTAATTTATGTCTGTAACAATGAATATGTGAAATTCAACAACAAATATTTTCTAATCATTAAAATATCTAACCTAAAGTAGCCATAACCTAGCCTTCAAAAAGTACCTACGCGTTTTCTTTTTAAAGTTATATTTTGCGCTTCAACGTTTCGGGACAAATTAAAAAGAATTATGAAAAAGACGCTGATTAAAAAATATTTTCTTCTTGTTTTAATGGTACTTTTCGTCAAAAACAATTGACCAATTAATAACTTATCAAAGCTAAAAGATACATTTAAAACAATTTTATATCCGGAAAGCGCAAAGAGCAACTTTTCAACCTGTTACATCGAAAAAAAAAAAACAAAAGGAAAGTCATGTAGGTATGACGAAAATTTCGAAAGTCCAGATCAGATGTATCTCGCCCTGTAAAAATTTTTAGATATTTTAATCTCAAAACTCAAGAAATGTAACCAAAGTACCAATTTTAATTTAAATAAAAGGACAAAACAACCGTGACAGTAACCATTTCCGAGTTATGTCCCTTTTATCGCTGGGTTAGAATCTGATCTCATATTTGAAGATACATGAAAATCTCAATGTGTTGGAGCTAATCTAAAGAGAGAATCTAATTCACCGGTAAGAACAAATTGACGATAGGTACTTTCTTGGTTATTTAATTTTTTAATTTCACTCAACAATGCTTATAAAAGGACAATAAATGGAAATTTTTTGAATTTGAGATTGAGACGTACTCTGGAATTGCAAACTACGTTGAAATTGATCTGTGACCTTAGTTTCTAGATCATTTGTTACCATTTTCAAGTTTTTGGATTTTCATTTTCTGTATCTCGTGTATTTAGTTTTTCGCCCTAATCACTATCATCGCTCCATTCCCTCCGTTGTTCAAGGGTGCATTCCGCCCTGTTCACTATTTTACACTACTGCTTAGGACAGTGAGACAGGCCACCTATCAGCATTAGCTGGTTGGAACGAAATACAACAATTGTTTTTCAGCCCCTTAAATTTTTTTTAATGTCCTTTAATTTTTTTTCTTTCATTTTATGTCGGCACCGTACTCCTGAAGAAGTATCACTTCAAAAATTTCTCAACGTATTTTTAAAAACATTTAATGAACGAAAGCCATTTCAAACATTGTTTTGCCGCTATGTATAATAATAAATTGTTGTGTCGTTCAAAACTTGCATAAACCTTATCTAAGATTTTTATTAATTGAAAGTACTTGCAATACTTCCCACCTAAAAGGGAATGAAATGTATATAAAGTCGACCAATCAGTCAGTATGTGTCTGTTTGCTGCTGGCACCAGTGCTATATTTTCTCATTTAAACAGTTATTTAACAGAATTCTTCTGTGATAATACTCAAAGTTGAATTTTTATCATCTACAAACTGTTAGTGTTAAAAGACAGATGGCTGTGGATGCATTTATTGGTATAATAAATAACACAATCGGCAACGGCACATCTCCTTGTTTTCTTTTGTTTGCGCAAGTCAGTGTAAGTGAGTACCATTCGGTATAGCTTTCATGCGAAACAATATCGTAAATAAGATTGTGTTAAACGTTGTGTTGTTTATTAACATTTGTTGGTGCATTCACCGTTTTGTGAATTAGCAGCCGCATATATGGAAATTGACNTTTTACTTCTTTCAAGTGCCTTGTACTATTTCTTTTTTATTAAAAAATCAATTTATGCGTTGGAGGATGAGTAAGATCTCAAGTTTCCGGTACTATTTTTTTTAAGGTCACGACAAGCTCGCATGTATATCAGAAAATACAGAAATATTTGTGCTCAGAAGAATTATTAAAAAAACGAATATATCAGATTAAATGAGCAAGATCAAGATTTAACACGCTAGATCAAGACCAAGACTATATTTATCAATAAGATCAAGCCTAGAAGTATTTGAGCAAGACCAAAACCAAAATCGAATAACTAAGACCAAAACGGTCTTGGTCTTGGTCTTGCTGTGTTCATCGCTATTTTTGAAGGTATTTCCCCGTAAGACAATTTTTTGATGCGATTAGGGTAGCCTCCGGTTAGCAAATGGAAAACTAATGATTGAAAACTGTTCAAAAATTAAAAATGCGTCCCTAGAAAAAAAGAATTAGCCTTTAAACCAACTAAGTAAGCTGAGTTACCTACCAAAACTTACATTGTTTAAAACCACACTCAGTATTTGGTAATGAAAAGAAATCATAAACCATTCATAATAATATAAAATGAAAGAGAAAAATTGAACAATAGACAAATGACGCGGTGCAATCTTAGAATCTCGAACTTCACAGTCGACAACACCTGGTGAAGCTTACGAAACTCTGTAATAAGTCAGCTAAAACATCGAGAAAATTTGCTTACGCTTGAAGTTCCCTAACTCATTTTGTGTTATGTAATACTTTCTTTACTTCCCCCTTTTTTGCTTCAAGAATTATCTGTATACGTTAGAAATTATTTAAGAAAAAGTCCACCAGTATTAATTTCTCGGTAGATTGTATGTTTATCTAAATATTGTGACCGAAATCAATTTTTATTAAATAAAAATTATTCTTATACTCTAAGAACCCAGAGTTGCCAGACATTACTTATTTTCTGAGTAACAAAGAATGGGTTGAATAGAGTTGTGTTAATAGGTATTTTGAATATACTTATAGGTATACTTCATTTACTTTCTCTAGCGATGTGCCCCTTTCAATGTCTTGGATGCGCGCTGGCAAAATCGTAGGTAGGGAAAAAAACCTCATTATACTCTCGACTCTTGTTCATTAAACATACTTTTTCATACGGTACCTGTCAAAAGTTTTGTTGAATCATGAATAGCAGTACGAGTTGAAAACAAGCGTTAAAGCCTTTAATATATCTTCAAATATAAATAAACATCTCCTTGATATTTTCTGTAGTAAATGGTACCAATAACAGCACATTTAAGCAATGCAATTGTAATGGATAAAATGATCAAATTTTCCGTGCAGTCCTATACGGATTATGCGTTCCTCACAGGTTAAGAGTTTAACCGAGAGTTGTCTCCTTTCTTTTCTGGCCTAGTGCTGTTCTTTTCTAGTTTGCGCCGGTCAAACTGAAGGTCACATCGCTACAGAAAGTAAACGAAGTATACTTCCTAACTTGGACCGATGGCCAAATTAATAATCAACACTGCTAGACACTTTCCGTTGACGGTAATTTCTGCCAAACGCTTCAAAGTTCGTCAATTCGCGAATTGTAGAAGCCAAACATCCCCCAGATATAAACAAAATGTCGCTCTGGGATCTTACTCTATTAATGACTTTTTTAAATTTGTATTCCGGATGTTATTATTATTTTGTATTCCGGATAATATCATTATAGTAGCTTTTTTTGGTAAATTCGTCTGCTATTAAATATATCACCTTCTGATGCATTAATTTTTGTTTGAACTCACTTGAAGAATAAATAAAGTACTTAAGTGAAAAATATACCCGCTCGTGCTCTATTTAAAACCTTTCTGCCTTAATAATATCGTCAATAAATCATGGTCATTAAGCGTCTTGGTCGGTGCTTAAATCCTGCGAGTATATCTCAAAGAAAAAGTACCTACCGGATACTATTGCAATAAATTTCAATTGCATATGTACATACGTATAGATATATACGTACGGTTTTATTCTCCTTCATTGTTCGACAATAAATAAAAGAACCCTTTAAACTGCATTGGTGTCGTAGATAAATATTAACCTAACTTTATATTAAGGTAGTCCGGCTGAAATTTCAATTTTGTGAAACGGTAAAAAATAAATAGTTTAAACCTTTTAATTGACAATAGTAAAAAGACAAGGTCTCTTACGGAGTTAAAATTTAAATAATTCTGGTTTTATAAATGAACACCTAACATGTACTCATCTTTCAATATTTTTAGTAATAAATTGTCACGGTAAACTCTTTGATATCTTTCGATAATATGGAAAATTAGCTTTTTAGATTAGTTATGCTTGTGCTGATAATTAATCCATTATTTTTCTTAATAGATTAGAGATGGATTTATTAAGTTAATTATTAGCTGTATCGATTATTCGAAATAACTACATAAGTGGATAAAAAGTCCATAGAAGTTTTTACCTGTCTAATGCAGAATTTAATTTTAACATTAAAACGGGTGTATTTTAAAAATAATCTAGTACTTACAAATAAAATCATTATAAAGAGGAGTACGATCGACGAGCCATATTTTTAGCCCGTATGATGAAATCAATATTTAATTTAATGTTCATGGTATAGCAGTATTAACATCTAGCAAGGAGGAGTTAAATGTAGCTTTAGATAAAATGAAAGCCTTATTGACAAAACGGTATTGTATGGAATTAAATAAAAGTAAAACAAAAATTCTAGTCTACAAGGGATGAAAGGAAAGCGCAAATATAAAGATAGGAGACGAAAACTTAGAAGAATCAGCCATGATTTTCGGTATATAGGAAGTCAGACAACTCAGCATGGAAGGAGTAATAGAGATATAAAACAAATGATAGCGCAGGGTCGTGTCGCCTTTAATAAAAAGAAGTCACTTCTGTGCTAGAAAACGGTTAATTTAGAAATTCGGAAAAGATTGTTAAACGTGTATGTTTGGAGGACGACGCTGTAATGGTTAGAAGCGTTCGAAACGTGGCGTTACAGGAGAATGATGAGAATACCGTGGATAGAGAAGATTTTAAACAAGGAGGTATTAGAAAGAGTAATAGAGCAGAGGGCACTATGGAAGCCAAAAAGAAATGGACGAGATAGGTTAGTGAGGCATATTCTTAAACATGAAAGGCTAGTTAGTGACGTATTAGAAGCAGAAACAGAAGTTAAGAGGAGTAGGGATTGACGTAGATTAGATTACTGTTCGCAAGTAGTTAAGGATGTCGGGATGCAAAGATTCGCTCAGGAGAGGAAAGAATGGAGTTGCATGTCCAATCAGTTTTAGGACAGACGACCTTATTGATGATGATGATGATGAGTTTTATAATTTTATACCAAAACTGCATTAAAGAAATAAACACTGATGTTGGTATCATAGGCCAAAAGTACACTCTGCTCCCTGTCAATTTTAATCCTTTAAACTACATTTTTCAGTGATTTTATTTTTGAAAAAAAAAGCGGAAACCCTACAGGAAATAAATTTTAGAAACTTTTTGGTCTTATTGGCTGTTGAAGTATATATACCTGTTGTTTTGTCATATAAATTGGCTTATTTATAATTATCCATACTGTCGTTTCCCAACAGCCTGGATGCGTTGTTGAACCATCGTAGGTCATGAACTGTTCTGTAGCTGGAAGAAGGCTTCTAATTGAAATGTGCTCTATTGGCGCTGACTCTCCTGAAGCAAACCAAACATAAAAATTCAATTACAGAAATTACCTTTATGTCTATAAATGTAATTGAGTCTTGCGTGTTTCTCCAATGACAATAAATTAATATAATGTGTAGTAAGGGGTTATTCATCAGTAAGTCAATTAATGTTAGGTATTTTCGAATTGTCCCACGGTATACCTATTTTACATACGTCATATTACATATGTACATATTACATGTATCATCAGATCATCGCAGGGGAGCATTTTGCAAGTTACTGAGAAAACATAAAAAAAACCTATTTTCTCATAATAAGAATTAATTATGATTGTAACGTTTTTTAGAGTAGATAAGTTGTTTGTTGTAATTAATATTAATTTTGAAAACTCGATTTTGTCCTTTGAAAATTAGTTAACGTAAATAATTCACGGAAATGCTATTTTTACAATTTTGTTATGATTAATCTATATATGTAGAGAAACACCAAATAGATTGGGGAAGTTCGGGATTTACTTTGTTGAACAAATCAGTTTTGCATAAAAAAAGGGCATGTAATTAAAATTGTATGAGACACATCTGCAAAATTTGATTTTCAATTACTCAGGCAGTGTATTATTAGCAGGTCAACAAAAAATCGGTGCACTTGAATTAAGCACAAAAACGATTTATAAGCATAAACTGAGCACAAACGGACGCCTGAATTGAGCACAAAGATTTTCTTACCTGCATGTGTTTAAATAAACACCTGAATTGAGCACAAGCCATATTGCCAGCTTTCTTTTAAAATATCTGTATGGATTTGAGTTCTTTTTGAAGCAGTAGGTAGGTAAGCAAGTAAATTTTCTAATGGAATGTTGTAACAAAAAACAATATTTACTTTGAATTATTTTATTTATTTTTTACAAGTACTTATAGGATTAATATTTCAACTTTATATTAGATACATAATATTAACTTAACTAACGATATTTTTACAAGAAATACATTTTGCATAGTCGTATCTTGATATTTCACCATCATTTAGTTAGCTTTATTTTTTGATCAATAAAATTGATTTTTAACAGTATTTTTCGTCTTAATTTTTTTTTCAACTTGGTTAACTGAATTTATTTTTATCTAAGTGTCTGTTTGAATTTCAATCAGAACCTTTAAAAAAGAGACGTTTTCCTTCTTAAATTTCGAATGGAATGCCTGGAAATGTTGGTTGTTCTAGAGACATTAGAAGACTGTTCGGTCCAAATTTTTTTAAAGACATGTTATTTATTGTACAAGACAATGATAACTATAATTGCAGAGGGGTAGTCCCTTGTTTTTATTAATTTCTTCCGCCCTTTACAAATCAGTTATATTTGGCAACATTACAACTTAATGTTGTTCTTATCATCGGTACTTTTATTTGCTACCTGTATGATCCCTGTGCTCAATTCCTTTCTTGATAAACAAACCCTCGATAATTACTTGTTTACCTGCTTACGCTCTGTGCTCAATTCGAGTCTCATCCAAAAGATCTATTAATATTTAAAATGAGACGAAAAATAAAACATTCATTTTTTAAAACCGAAAATGCATGTCTTTTATCGTTTATATTTTTTCTATTTGCACCAAGTTTGTCCGTGACATTGCGCCAAAAGTTTAAAAAAATCGTACAAAATAAAAATGGATATCTAATTATGACGACGTCGTTAAAAGCATTTCCTATTATATGCCGCGGTGTTCGTTGGTGTGTTGTTTGACAATAATTGACTTCGTTCACTGCGTTAGTTGACTGTAAAGTAAGTCTCGTTTCCCATTTTCACATTGGCGTCTTTGTCGGAATTGTTCAAAAGACTCAGCACACCCTATAGGTGGATAATTCGACGCCGCCGCCGTTTCAGCTTTCCACCGCATTTATCGTGTGTTGTCGTCGTGTAGGCGTCGCACAGTGCGGCGAAATAACAAAAAGTCTGACACCAATAAAAAGTGTTACAGTGCGGAATTTTAAACGATCGTGAACGAAAATATGGTTAAAAATGGTCGTATAGTAAAATACCACATAAACAACAAAATGACAGACTTGTTCCCACAGAAAAACAGACTATCCTCAAAAATTTCGTACCTTTTTTTGAATGAGAAGAGAAATAAATAACCAAAACGCATAGAATTTTTAAACACTGCTAATGCATAGTTAGTATTTTTTTTAGAAATCGAAGGCAGCTGAGGGCAAACAAATTATATTATTGTCTCTAATAGTATCTGCGTTTCGTCTTTGATGTAATGTTTTTTTAATTGCAAGGTGTTGTTTTTCGATATTGTTGTGACTAGGGTTTATACAAAAACCGACATTTTAGAAAACCGGTTTTCGAATGGTCATTTTTCCAGAAAGCCGGTTTTAACCGGTTTCGAATTTTTATAAAAAAAATTTTTGGCTCNCAAAAACCGACATTTTAGAAAACCGGTTTTCGAATTTCTAATTCTGTCCAAAAAACCGGTTTTTAAAAACCGACAAACCCTAGTTGTGACAAAAGTTTTATTTTTCCTTATATGACTTTAATTTCTAAAATAGTTTATAAAGATAGAAAAGGAATTATAACTTGTATTACGAAAATGACAATGTGCCACCATTAATTTAGATATTTACTGCTAATTGTGGTAACTCATAATGTTAAAGAATCAATAATTATGAAATCACCACTTTTGCAGGGAATCGGATAGCCCGGTACCCGCGATAAAACCACTACGATTAATGGTCCTTGTCTTCGTTCTTGTGGGCTTTCCATTAAATACCACCCTTACCAACACCCCAAGTCACATTAAATCCCGTTCAAAAAGTTATTTAAACACTAAACAAATGAAATTTTAATTTTTGCCTGCAAGGTGACAAAATCTTACTAATAAGTTACAGTTGATCAAAACTTGATAACAAGCGACTATTCTGATGTACTTTTATAAATACTTTAGTATAGTAATCAATAAATAATACAAATTAGGACAAACAACCTATCCCAATGGAATATTAATTAATTACCAATTTTCATTAGGTAGATGAAATCCTATGACATTGTTAGTTACTTAATAGTGGATTAGTATGCAATATTAATTTGAAATCATTTTTTCGATTTTTTATTTACCCATTACAAATTAATGAGGGAAAAATTGTTGCTGCCGGGAATCGAACCCGGGACCTTTGGCTTTACGCACCAATGTTCTGACCACTAAACTACGAGAGGTGACAACAGCAACCACGAGGTTTTTGAGGTAGTTTGTAGTAGGTAAATAAAAAATCGAAAAAATGATTTCAAATTAATATTGCATATTAATCCACTATTAAGTAACTAACAATGTCGTAGGATTTCATATATTATCGTTAACATTGTAGGTCGGTTGGTCGTTGTTGCTGTTGTCACCTCTCGTAGTTTAGTGGTAGAACATTGGTGCGTAAAGCCAAAGGTCCCGGGTTCGATTCCCGGCGGTGGTGTGATAAGTGCAACAATTTTTCCCTCATTAATTTGAGGTAGCGTGTAGTGGGTAAAAAATTCAGAAATGAATTTTCAGAATAATATTTCATATTAAACTAACTCACTTCTAAAAGATATCTAAATTATATGTATGTTTAATCATAGTATATTCAGTATATAGTTACATTAGTTCGACGGATCGTTAACCTTGTAGGTCGGTTGGTCGTGGTTGTTGTTGTCACCTCTCGTAGTTTAGTGGTCAGAACATTGGTGCGTAAAGCCAAAGGTCCCGGGTTCGATTCCCGGCGGGGGTGTGACAACAGCAACAATTTTTCCCTCATTAATTTGAGGTAGCGTGTAGTGGGTAAAAAATTCAGAAATGAATTTTCAGAATAATATTTCATATTAAACTAACTCACTTCTAAAAGATATCTAAATTATATGTATGTTTAATCATAGTATATTCAGTATATAGTTACATTAGTTCGACGGATCGTTAACCTTGTAGGTCGGTTGGTCGTGGTTGTTGTTGTCACCTCTCGTAGTTTAGTGGTCAGAACATTGGTGCGTAAAGCCAAAGGTCCCGGGTTCGATTCCCGACGGGGGTGTGACAACAGCAACAATTTTTCCCTCATTAATTTGAGGTAGCGTGTAGTGGGTAAAAAATTCAGAAATGAATTTTCAGAATAATATTTCATATTAAACTAACTCACTTCTAAAAGATATCTAAATTATATGTATGTTTAATCATAGTATATTCAGTATATAGTTACATTAGTTCGACGGATCGTTAACCTTGTAGGTCGGTTGGTCGTGGTTGTTGTTGTCACCTCTCGTAGTTTAGTGGTCAGAACATTGGTGCGTAAAGCCAAAGGTCCCGGGTTCGATTCCCGACGGGGGTGTGACAACAGCAACAATTTTTCCCTCATTAATTTGAGGTAGCGTGTAGTGGGTAAAAAATTCAGAAATGAATTTTCAGAATAATATTTCATATTAAACTAACTCACTTCTAAAAGATATCTAAATTATATGTATGTTTAATCATAGTATATTCAGTATATAGTTACATTAGTTCGACGGATCGTTAACCTTGTAGGTCGGTTGGTCGTGGTTGCTGTTGTCACCTCTCGTAGTTTAGTGGTCAGAACATTGGTGCGTAAAGCCAAAGGTCCCGGGTTCGATTCCCGACGGGGGTGTGACAACAGCATCAATTTTTCCCTCATTAATTTGAGACAGTTTGTAGTGGGTAAACAAAAAATCGAAAAAATGATTTCAAACTTGTTAAATTATTATTACTGCTCTTTTTTCTGTGGTAGCATTACTCGGCACTATTTGGTACACGGCGTCATTATCCGGTACCCGCCCGGATCTGCTCGGTACTAGATCCAAATCGGATACGCGGCTTATCTGTAGTCTCCATAAACTACCAAGGACTTAAGATTTTATATGGTATCAAAATTAAGTCAAGAAAAATAGTTCAATTAATAAACCTGGTACATGACTTTATCAACGTAGATTTTTGATGTCGATAGTTATTTGTTTTATGCAGATTTATGACATAGTATCGGATGTAAATGGTACCTACATAATA